GCTGGAACTGGTTCGGCGCCGGACACAAACTAGGGCGGTCAATTTTTTTATATAACTATTTTCGGGGAACAGCGGCGTTTTACCGAGGTCGGGCAACTAGATAGGACACATAACTGACTCCCCGGCCCTTGGTTGCGGGTGTTCCGGAGGAGCTCCCCACGCCCTCGCACCTCACAGTACTCAGACGAGGTCGATAAACGTCAAGTCAAGCAGCGCCCGCGTCAGGCAAATCGACCGGCCGCGTGAAGCTAATCGACTAATCGAAGCAACAGCTATCGCCCTTTAAGCCCGCGCGCTATGAGTATATCAGTCGCGAGGAGGATGAGCGATGGTGCCCTCCTGGGGCCCTGGCCGCGCCCGGGGGGGACGGCGACGTGGTCCTCCTCCCGTCGCGTCCTGGTGGCGCACTGGCGCGCCGGCCTGGTGGCGCTGCGGCTCGGGGGGGTCCTCGGCTGCAGCGGCTGGCCGCCGCGCTGGTCGCGCCGGTGGACACGCTACGGCTGCGCGACCCTGGTGGCGTTCACCGCGGCCAGAGTCGCGCTCTTCACCCGTCAGTTCTTCGTCATGTTCAAGGTCTGAAATACTTGCCGAAGGCCCCTACTTCTTTAAAGGTCGCGTTAAAATGTCAAAAATGCACGCAGCCTCAGTTCGAGAGAGGGCGGGAAAGTTCGTATCCCGACGAAATTGCGTACATCTTCTGGCTCGGCACCTTCAACCTGTGCATAAAGGGCCTCACCATCATTCTGACTCAGGTAGGAGAGCCTAGACTACAGGCGGGGACCCCCCTCCCCTCGCGCCACATCTAAACCAAACACCCCTCTTGCCGCAGGTGGTCATGTTGCTCTGTTCTCGCAACGTGGGTCTGCTCGTCAGGGCCGTGTTCCTCTACCTACACTCCTTCCCGGGCCCGCGGAACAAGAACGCGAGCAGGCGCGCCGTCGTTGCGTGGTTCGGAGCCAACTTCACCTTCACGGCTGCTTACTGCCTCAGTTATACCGTAAGACGGATCCCTTGACGGCTCGGTTTGGTGCAGTTTGGTGTCTTCTACAACTCAGCGGTCTACAGCATCGGTCGGTCCACCAGTCCCGGGAGCGCGTCCGAAAGCGACTGAGGTGCTCGAGCCCGCCGTAGCTCCAAATCTCACTCGCACATGTTTGTTTTCACGCGCTCCCGGGACTGGTGAACCGACCGATGCAGCAGACCTCCGCGCCCCGCGGTGGTCCAACGCTCTGCTCTATGCTCCTGTGCCGCAGAACGTCTACCTAGACAACTGGGAACGTGCATTCTATGTTCTGAACGACGTGCTGCCGGACGTGCTCATCGGTGCGACACGGGACTCGTTCTTGCACCTCGTGTCGGCCAACGTCGACTTGTTGGCGGCCATCGCCGACGGCGTGCACAACCACGTCGCCTCGCTGCCACACCTGCAGGGTCATCGGGGACCCCCCGCGGGAGCTCCCGGCAGTGTCTTCCGGCAGCGCCTTCGCAGTGCCCGGGAAGGAGGTCCGATGACCCTGCAGGACCTGCAGTTTGGATCTGTTGCTCCGAGCGCGTCTTGCTCCTCGTCGTGCCCCGAGCACTGCGCCAGGCGCGTCAGCGCCGCGCTCGAGCAGGGCGACGACGACCTGCTGCACGGCCTGCGCGCGCTCCGGGTGCGCTACCAGAGCGTCCAGGACGTGGTGCGGGCCACCAACCGGGCCTACGGGGGGTTCAACCTGCTCACCAGCACGACCGCGCTGATCGACGGGGTGGTGTTCCTGTACTCCGGGGTGATGCTCGCCATCGCGTTCGCCGGGGTGCTGGGCGACTACAAGGACCCGCTCCCCTTTAACGCGTTCGATGCCGCCTACTGCCTGGCGTTTGGCGCATTGCAGGCCGCCAGGCTTCTGTTCATGTGCGCCATCGGGGAACAGATGAGTTCGGAGGTAAGACAGGCATGTTCTGGGCTGGGGTAGTTCCATTTAGGCCTGTCGCCCTTTAGACCGAATTCTTGTAGAGTTTTAGGATTTCGAGCGCCTTGCAGACGGGGTTGGCTCGTCATCCAGGCATAGACCTCCGGATCGAGCGAGAGGTATGTTTTTTTCCTTTTTCATTTACACTCAGAACTACCCTGTGAGAACTGACCCTCAAAACGACATCGTTTCGACGTCATTTTGGTAATTTTGACATAGTTTCGTTATCGTTTCGATATGTCAATTTGATAGTTTTGACATCGTTTCGTTATCGCTCCGACTTGTTATTGCTCGCAGAGTGCACGTGAGTTCTCTCTATAGGAACGGCAGTGGTGTGGAAGGGCTCAAGATTACCAAGCAATACTGACTATTTTACAGATTCAAAGGTTTATCCACCAGACTCAGATGCAGGAAATTCGATTTGGAGCGTTCGACCTCTTATATTTCGATTTGAAAACCATGAAGAGAGTAAGTTCAACGATGGTTCTCATCATGTTCGCAAGTTTGCATGGTAATTTTTTCGGCTTTTTGAGCTCTGACTCATTTTCTCCCCCCCCCCTTTTTTTTAGATCATAGCCGCCATCATGACAAATATCGTCATTTTAGTACAATTTTCTGCAATTTCAGCTGAAGGCAAACACAGAGAGCAAATAGTTTAAAACTGCATAGTGTAATTTGGTTGCGCCCAATCAGCCATTTTTAAACAAAACTAATATCAAAAGAAGCAACCTGTCTATCGATCGTGCCGCTCGGTGCATACCCCCTTCTCTCAACGTTAAAGTAGTAGTTTTAGAAGTTCCCCGAGACTGCGTCCCCCGCACGGCACAGTTACCCCCCCCCCCCACCTCCCACATTCCCATCTCCCCTCTATCACAGGGTACACACAAGGCGCACTTTTGAATCTCCCGCCCCGGTCGGCTCGCCGCCCGTGGAGCGGGGGGTAGGCAGACCCGCGAGACGCCCGAGCGCAACGGGCTGCCTGCGCCGCCCGCGACGCGTCCCCACCCTTCGCTCCCCCGCCTGCCTCGTACGTCTCGAGCGGGTTGCTCGGAAATGATTTGTGTGCAGGGAGAAATAATGCCCAAAGGTATGCTGCCATGATGTAATTTATTTTTTCAGAGATATCTGGAGTGAACTACATTTTTTCTCGGTTTGTCTTTTTTGTAGTGACGGCTCGTCCCTCTTCATCACGAGCCTGCCCAAGCGACCGCAGGCCGCACCTGCATGGCTCGAGCATCCAGCGCAGGTTGGCGCCCCCTCTCTGGACGGATCGCATCCCTCGAACAACCGAGGCGGGATTGCCTATACCCCCCCAGGCGTCCTCGGCAACAACTCTTCCCTGAGGTCCCCCATCATAGAGTCCTAGGACTCTAGTTCCCCACTGCGGCCACACACTGTTAAAAATTCTTGTATGGATACGACAAACTTTCTTACAACTTGTCCGTTCAAGATCAACATTATTTGTTTTCATTAAGAACGATTAAAATTTGCAACGAGAAAGTACCATCCCTACACAAACATCTTGTAATGTTAAGATGTCGTTTCAATACAAGAAAGTTTGTTTCCTGATGGACAATCTCGTAACAAAAAAGATTTGTCTCTGT